GCAAGCCTCAAAAGCTCATGAAACACTTTCCAAACGTTCCAAAAGGACAAGGAAGTCCAACAGGGACTCTCTAATCCATTTTTTCCTCCCAAGAAGCCACCTAGTTTGACGTACCTCATGCTTAAGGTCCTCTATATCTGACTCAAAGGTTCTGCCAAATGAAAACAGGGGCTCTTCTTTCTAAAATTTTTTGGGGTCAAGCGACTGCACATCATCCATAATCTTAGCTATTTTTGTTCTTTTTTTGTGTGTGAAAAAACGCCTTCTGCCAATAGACAATCTTGCACCTGTCTGCGACTCCCTCTCATCCTCTGAAACTGAATAATGTAAGCTATATTTTAATACAACACAACAAATTCCTCATCATCTCAAAACATACTGCCTCCGAGTCTGACCTTCAGGTTTCATCATCCTGATCTACAGCCTTTTCTTGACAAAAAAAGACGCAATGTCTCCTCCTTTTCTTTTCATGTTTACACTAAAGGGAAGAGGGCGATGATACGATGGGCAATTAATAATGGAAAATACACACGCACACACACACTGGCACACACAGGCACGCACACACACGCACACAGGCACGCACACACGTACACAGGCACGCAGACCCACACTGGCACACACAGGCACGCACACACACGCAGACACACTAGCACGCTGACACACGCACACAGGTGCGCATGCAGGCACGCACGCACACATACACACACTAAAAGTTCTACAAACTGAACAAGTAATGCGCTGCAGTACGTGTGTCTATACTTTGTGTCAAATGTAAACGGTTGGCTCTGCGTTGCTAACTTACCTCTTTGTTTTCATCACGACTTGGGCACACCTGAGTCCAACAACCCAAAACATTAGCATCCAGCACCGGCTCCACACGGAGTCAGGGTGCGTTCACAGACGGGGGAAACCGTGGGAATTGTTAGCTTTTGGCGGAAAAAGTGCGGAAGATTCTCCAGATTAACAATATTACATTGCCGTCTTCCGAGGGGGGCACTGGGGGTGGCAAGGGTATTTTTAGAGGTGGCAGTGGCCACCCTGGCTACCCCTCTGGCTCCGCCACTGAAGACACTGAACCCCACTTTGCCTAAATTTGGGCCGGCCTGGGAGCCTCATACAAAAAGATATTTTTGAGAAATGTGGAAATCTGTTAAGAAATGTTTGAGGGGGGCACGCATGACCGTGGGGCACTTGCTGTTGATTGTATGAACTCGAACGGGATCCGCGGTCCGCAGCCTTTTGGCTCCGCAGCCAAAAGCTTCTTTGGAAAGGCGGCTCCCGCGTCCAGCGGCTGCTGGATGTACCCTAGACCAGCCATTCCCAAACTCAGTAACGCCGAGGCCCCCTTAAAAATCTAACGGGTCTGCGTGGCCCCCCAAAATAATAACCAAGAAGACAACATTAAGAATAGGCTCTTCTGGTTATTTTATTTTGGGGAAATAGCCTCTGCTACAAACATTGTAATACAAAAAATGATTACAGTGGATTATTCAAGTCAAATAATGAACACAAATATTTTAATATTACAAACAAAACATTATACATTTAACATTAAATAATTATATATATATATATATATTTTTTTTTTTTTATGACCTCCCGCGGCCCCCCTGCAGTACCCTCGCGGCCCACCAGGGGGCCGCGGACCCCAGTTTGGGAGACACTGCCCTAGACGATATACACGCACAGGACCATACTGTGATTGTTGTGTGCGTCTTTGCGTCACGCAATAGATACAGCGCAGCAAGAAACAGTCCGTGTCTTCCTTGTGTCTCGTCCCAAAGCGCAACCAAACTCGCTAAGTTAAAGCTGGGGTACGTTCATTTTCCTCTTGCATTAAAAGTTCATGTTGGTTGTGCCCAAAAATAAAATGTTGTGAACAAATCAAACAGATTTAATGACAGCCATCTGCTAACATTGTACATTTCAGACTTATTTGAAATGTCCCATTCTCATCCTTGTAACAAACAATATGGTGCTATGTCCGTCTCCCTCATGTAGTGACATGTTTATTAATCTCAATGTAGATCATTGCACTTTATTATAATTGTTGAAACTGCATATATCTTGAGCCTCTATGTGCTCCCGCACACTGTAAAAATAACCGTAAAAAAAAAAAAAAAAACATGAAAAAAGAAACGGCCGGGCAAAAATGGGCCGTTTTTTGGTCCAAGTCCAGCCCTGATGTTCAGGGACTTGAATACTAAGCACACACATTGTCACTATTTGAGAACAGGGCAGTGGCTGAAATACTCATTTTTTTATTTACAAGGAACAGGCAGTTCTTTGAAAGATTTCAATTCACATTCCATCTCTCTCATACCTGCTTCAAACAAGATTCCTTTCATAATCAAGTAAGTCATATTAATTTATATTGCCTTTCCCAGACCAGAGTCACAACACGCTTTACAACTGCTGTGGGCATGTGTGTCTCACTCCACACATGGGAGTGGGATCGCCCTAAAGGAGTAAATAAGTAGTAATCTTTTATTTATATACCGTCTTTTCACTGCACATCAGAGTCTCAAAGCAGTTTACAATTGTTATTTTTGTGAGTGGGGGTGCCAGTACACGACAGACCTATTTGTGAGTGGAGTCTCCGGAGCACCTGGAGAAAGGCCCTGAAAGGCCCTGGCCCAACCGGAATTCGAACCCAGGACCTTTAGCCACCGTGCCGCCCAGGAGCCCAGTGGACTGAGAACCATCTGCTGATCAGGTTAAATCAGAACGATCCATTCATCCGTGTTCTTCCCCTTAATCCATTTCTGGGTCAGGGGGGTGGAATTCAGCTGCCACACTGAGCACCAGCCCCAAAATAAACCAGAAAGATGTATTTGTGAAATGCGCTGAATGAGGACTCCTTGTTCTGACTGTCGGACCCGGTGACTGTACATTTGTAAACATCACTGAGGCACTTGACACATTTACAATTTGATGAATCAATGAGAAAGGGAGATGTTTTTTGGGGACCCAGTTTAAAGATATGAGCCAAAGCAACTGTAAAATAAACTGTAAAAGAAAGAAAAGACATAATCTGGCTGATGTATACTTTGAATTAAAAATGTTTGAGAATGTTCTGTTGCTCAGACTTTTATATGTGGTCGTAGCAAACAAGTCTCGTCATAGTTCCCAGGAGCTCACTCAGATCCATGACGGTGCCATGTTCGGAAAGCAGAGAAATAGTGCCCCCTTCAGGTGGTCACGTGAATAGAACAGAGCAAAAACATATCATTCTATTCAATCATATTGTTAAAGAGGAAATATTATGCTTTTTTGTCCATTAAATTGTGGAAATTAATGTTCGAAATTATATCTGGTGAACATAAATATATGGAGAAACAACTACAATCAGTAAAAAGGCTATTGGCTTGAGCTGTATCTATATTACCACCAGAGGGAGGTAATTAATGTAATTTCAGTGGAGACATTTCCAAAACTACATTATACTATATACAATACTTTTGTTTTACATGGAAGAAAACAGCAGATTGTGATTGGATGAAATGATAAAGAAAAGAGAGATCAAACTCCTCACACATCAACAATGAGAGATAATCTCATACAAAAATTATGACTTATGATTTATTTCTATAAACTATGTATGCATACAGAAAAGTTACAAAGTTAGGAAGACCAAAAAAGTACATACACTGAGCACATACACTTCCCAAACTAAAGGTTAAAAAAGGTTCCAGGGCCACACTTACTGAAAACTTTACATGACATCTTTAACTGTACATTTGCCTTTGAGATTTACTGTTTTTTTGGTTTACGTGTGTATGGACTAAGAGTTTAGTGCCCAGCTGGCCACTAGCAAAAAATAAGATATTTCTGGACAATTTATAAGATGAATGAACTGACTGCAAGTGTAAATGTTTATTATGGTTGGTTTGATTCCTGCTGGGACTCCTGCTGGTGCCCAGAGTCAGGACTGAACAGATAAAATCTTGAACTGTCTTCCTGAAGATGTAAGACAAGTATATTCTTCGATAGTGTCAAATCCAGGTTAAAACACTTCTGTTTAGTTGTGCATACAACTGAAGGATTCTATCTTTACTTTGACTGTGATCATTGATGAGTTTAATGCCGTGTGTGGTAGTTTGTATCTTGTTTTATTAACCACTTTGAGTTGCCTCGTGTATGAATTGTGCAATACAAATTAACTGGCCTTGCCTTCTGTAATTAGTAAGTAAGTAAGTAAGTTTTTATTTATATACCGCCTTTTCACTGCAGATCTGAGTCTCAAAGCGGTTTACAATTGTTAATTTTGGGCATTAGTCTCTCACTCCACACAGAGATGGGAGCGGGGCCAGTACAGGAGGCGCATGCCAGATCTATTGAACATATTTTTAGTGGTAGGGGAAACCGGAGTACCCGGAGGAAACCTACGCAGACACGGGGAGAACATGCAAACTCCACTCAGAAAGGCCCTGGTCTGACCGGGATTCGAACCCAGGACCTTCTTGCTGAGAGGCGAGAGTGCTATCCACTCAGCCACCGTGCCGCCCTAATGTTATGCTCTTTTATATGAACTCCTGAAGAATAATAATAAAAGGTTACAGAGCTTAAATACAACATGATTTATTTTTTGTAATAGTTACAATACTAGCCATTTGTAACTCAAGACAAAAATAAAATGGAAGACATTATTAGGTATTCATGCTGTTTAAGAATCCAGGGGAAAACAAATACTTCATTACCTCAAAAGAAAAGAAGCCATAAAGTATGTTCTTCATATGAACATATTTCTTATATTCATTGCGTTGACTCCTGGTCATTTCGCAAGTTAAAAAGCATAATTTTTAACACACTTTTTTTCAAATCAAAATGCAAATACATGAGAAAAAGCCATACATGTACTACTAAAGTATATGTCTGCATATTTATAAAGTCGTTCTGTTCACTGCCCAATAAGCAAACTCAAATTAAAAGCAAAATATAACAAATAAAGTTATATTTTTAAAAACATAATTCACCTGAATTTCTTGTTCAAGTCTTCAACATTCAATATTAAGGTCACACAGCAGCTGCTCAAGGGCCGCGTGTTTCTGGCTGGCCTCTTCTATCGCGCTGTACGTCTGCACGTTGCTGGAGATGTGATAGCGGATGTCGTCCACTAGAGGGACAGAGTCAGTCTCGTGTCTCCCCTTCACACTGGCCGCATCTTCTTGGATCAGCTCAGCAAATTCAGGCTCGAGGACCAGCTAGAAAACATACAATAAAAATTATTGTATTGAACAGTATAAGGCGGCACGGTGGCTGAGTGGATAGCACTCTCGCCTCTCAGCAAGAAGGTCCTGGGTTCGAATCCCGGTCGGACCAGGGCCTTTCTGAGTGGAGTTTGCATGTTCTCCCCGTGTCTGCGTAGGTTTCCTCCGGGTACTCCGGTTTCCCCTACCACTAAAAATATGTCCAATAGTTCTGGCATGCGCCTCCTGTACTGGCGACCCCGCTCCCATCTCTGTGTGGAGTGAGTGGACAAGTGCCCAAAAATTAACAATTGTAAACCGCTTTGAGACTCAGATCTGCAGTGAAAAGGCGGTATATAAATAAATAAAATAAATAAAAGAAAAGAAAGAAAAATAAATATAAAAGTATAGTTGCACTATTTGAAATTTCAACATTAAACCATGGCCTTTTTTCAACAAATAAAAAAGTTATGAGTTATACTAATACTGTATATTGAATGGAAATTATTATTGGATTGAGCCATGTTTATCTTTTTACATAATGTCACCACTAATGGTTCAAATCAAGAGTTTACTTGATTTTGGTCACACACACAATTAAAACCTGGCATGGTTCAAAAAACATGGTAATCATGAATTAATTCTGTATGAAAACTACCAAACTAACAATATTTTCTGCTGATAACATTAACAATAACAGAAATAGATAGATAAATAGCTGTTTACAAACTAGTTTTGAATGCACCTAATGAAAGAAACTGATATTTGTATTGTAAAGGCAGAGTAGTAAGAAGAGTTGGGGTTATAAATGTTTTTACTTCCACTCCTATTAGGATATCCTTATTTCTACATTTGCATTAGGATGATGGTTATACAATGGTGTGTTTTTTCTAAATGTTTGTCCCGATTCTGATTCTCAAGCTTTGGTCAAGTCAGAATAAAATGTTTTTTTTTTCTTTATGTCATTTAGTTCTTGAAAGGAGTTTCATTAAATTAGATAGTTGGGGCTGTCCTTAAGAATCTGTGACATCCCCTCCCCCAGATAGGTGGATTGGTCATGTGTTATAGGTTCCTACATCGATGCGTCTAACCTGCTCGATGATCTTGGCCATGTACTCTGTGCACTGATCCTCGAGTCGTGAAAGGTGAAACAGTCGAGCGGTCTTCCACAGACAGATGACGTTGTCTCTGCTCAGAGCTTGACCCAGAGTTCTTCCACAGAGACGCTTCAGTCCCGGCAGCAGATACATATCGGCCACACACAACACGTCAAACACACACTCCATCGTCAGCTACAACAGGAGGAGAAAACACATGGATTTTATGGTAATCGTATATACAGTGCCTTGCGAAAGTATTCGGCCCCCTTGAACCTTTCAACATTTTGCCACATTTCAGGCTTCAAACATAAAGATATTAAATTTTAATTTTTTGTCATGAATCAACAACAAGTGGGACACAATCGTGAAGTGGAACGAAATGTATTGGATAATTTAAACTTTATTAACAAATAAAAAACTGAAAAGTGGGGCGTGCAATATTATTCGGCCCCTTTACTTTCAGTGCAGCAAACTCACTCCAGAAGTTCAGTGAGGATCTTTGAATGATCCAATGTTGTCCTAAATGACTGATGATGATAAATAGAATGCACCTGTGTGTAATCAAGTCTCCGTATAAATGCACCTGCTCTTTGATAGTCTCAGGGTTCTGTTTAAAGCGCAGAGAGAACCATGAAGACAAAGGAACACACCAGGCAGGTCCGAGATACTGTTGTGGAGAAGTTTAAAGCCGGATTTGGATACAAAAAGATTTGCCAAGCTTTAAACATCTCAAGGAGCACTGTGCAAGCAATTATATTGAAATGGAAGGAGTATCAGACCACTGCAAATCTACCAAGACCCGGCCGTCCCTCCAAACTTTCATCTCAAACAAGGAGAAGACTGATCAGAGATGCGGAGAAGACTGATCAGAGATGCAGCCAAGAGGCCCATGATCACTCTGGATGAACTGCAGATAACTACAGCTGAGGTGAGAGAGTCTGTCCATAGGACAACAATCAGTCGTGCACTGCACAAATCTGGCCTTTATGAAAGAGTGGCAAGAAGAAAGCCATTTCTCAAAGATATCCATAAAAACTCTCGTTTAAAGTTTGCCACAAGCCACCTGGGAGACACACCAAACATGTGGAAGAAGGTGCTCTGGTCAGATGAAACCAAAATCAAACTTTTTGGCCACAATGCAAAACGATATGTTTGGCGTAAAAGCAACACAGCTCATCACCCGGAACACACCATCCCCACTGTCAAACATGGTGGTGGCAGCATCATGGTTTGGGCCTGCTTTTCTTCAGCAGGGACAGGGAAGATGGCTAAAATTGATGGGAAGATGGATGGAGCCAAATACAGGACCATTCTGGAAGAAAACCTGTTTGAGTCTGCAAAAGACCTGAGACTGGGACGGAGATTTATCTTCCAACAGGACAATGATCCAAAACATAAAGCCAAATCTACAATGGAATGGTTCACAAATAGACGTATCCAGGTGTTAGAATGGCCAAGTCAAAGTCCAGACCTGAATCCAATCGAGAATCTGTGGACAGAGCTGAAGACTGCTGTTCACAAACGCTCTCCATCCAACCTCACTGAGCTCGAGCTGTTTTGCAAGGAAGAATGGGAAAGAATTCCAGTCTCTCGATGTGCAAAACTGATAGAGCTCCAAGCGACTTGCAGCTGTATTTGCAGCAAAAGGTGGCGCTACAAAGTATTAGCACAAGGGGCCGAATAATATTGCACGCCCCACTTTTTTTTTTTTTTTTACGTTTAAATTATCCAATAAATTTCGTTCCACTTCACGATTGTGTCCCACTTGTTGTTGATTCTTGACAAAAAATGTAATTTTTATATCTTTATGTTTGAAGCCTGAAATGTGGCGAAATGTTGAAAGGTTCAAGGGGGCCGAATTCGCAAGGCACTGTAGGTGAGTGTAACAGACGTACAGAAATCCTGGGGCTCATATAGTGCATTGGCTAAATTTCTCCATTATGAGATCAATAAAGTTTATCTTGTCTTGTCTTAATATGTGTATTTAAATGGCTGTTTAAATAATATGTGTATTTTTTTGGCTGTTGTCAGAGAAGAGCGTATGGACTTAATAAATTGACTCAAAAAATAATAATCAAGGTTATTTAGTAGCAATTAGTAGCAATATGATACTCATTTATTGTCAAAATAGACTGGTGAATGAGTACAGGCTAAGTTACATTAATTACATTTGAAAGCTGTAAACACCTCGTCATTAAATTATGTTGTGACCAGTTAAACAGTCATTTCTCTGCTATAACACAACATCAAAACCATCCATCCATCTATCTTCTTCCCCTTAATCAATTTCTGGATCGGGGGGGGTGGCAATCAGAGTGTGGTCTATATGTGGGGAAAATCTACTTTCATTAAACATTTTGCTGGTGCAGCTTTTATACAGGTGAGCCTTATAGTTCTGAAAGTACAGTAAATCTGTGTAGATATGTGTTAGTTAGAGTACAATGACACGCTGTTGTCATTTTGTTTAGAATATACAATGGCAATATAATAATTTCCCTCTGTTCTAGACTCTATACTTGAGAGTAACTCACCGCAGTGTCGTCGCTGTAGATGTAAAACAACACGTGGCTGAAGATTTCGTGTGAGATATTGTGCAGAGTGATGACTGGAGTGTTGGGCTGAGTCTGCAGCTGACCACCTTCACAAAAGTGGTCTTTAATTAAGGCCCTGAAATAGTCACTGCGTCCACAGAAAAACGCCTGCCAAAAGCAACACTAAACTGTTAATCTGCCGTACACAGGAACCATTGTGAAACACAGGCGCACACTGTACCTTATGGCACAAGAAGTTGTAACCATCTACTGAAAAGCATATGTCAGGATACGTTGAAAGATGTGATGTTTTGTTGAAGGGAAGCTCTCCAAATCCAAGCTGAAAAACATCATGAAAAAAAAGTTCACACATAAAAACTATTCCGGCATTTAAAGCTGGGGTCCGCAACTTTCATACCACAGCAATGTCTCTACTTAATCAAATCCATCTAACTAGTTTCTCACTCTAAAAACATTTCAGTTCTATATTAGATTTCACATGGGCGCTTCAGACCCGAAAGTGAAGAAAAAGATGACCAGCCTCATTCAGCCAATCAGCTTTCAGCCCAAAGTGTCAAATAGTGACTCACAGGGCTCTTTCATACAACATGTTTTGAAAAAGTATTTGTGTTGGGACTATTCATGGCAAAATAAAGTTGCGTACCCCAGCTTTATGTTCCGTTATTTCTATGTCCACATCACTCTAGGTTTTTTTTAAGTAGAATTGTATTTCAAACGTTATGCAAAATGAAACAATAAATAATATAAACAAGACACTTATTTGGCTCCAACTCCTCTTCCTCATTAAACACAACCCTACACACAAGCTCAACACACGACAAGACACAGGCCCAAACACTCCCTGACCACACACCTGCCTACCTTTAACTCTGCTGGAAGTGCACAGTCGGCTAACTGGGCCAACTCATCCTGCAGTCTGCAGTTCTGTGGCTCCAGACTCAGGACTTTCACACAAATGCCAGGTTTGTTGGACACTACAGGAGCAGACACACAAAGAAGGAAGAACGTTTCAAAGATTGTGCTGTACCTTTGCTGTAATTTTAGCTAAAATGGATCTCAGTGTAGATAATATATAAAATGCAAATGCGTTTTAAAAGTGAACTTACCAAAACTATAAACCTGTTTACACTTATTCTCCAGCTCTTCAATCAGAGCAGACATTTTGCACTGTTTGGCGAGCCGCGTGCAGTCCTCCAGGAAACTTATGTCAATATCCATTCGCCCTGAAGCACAAGAATTAGAAGATGTGTTTTGCTACGTATGTGTTTTTTTATTCAACCAGGAAATTACAGCTGAGATTCTGAATCATATTTATGAAAGGAAACTTCTTCAAATCAAATAAGGCTTTTCTAACACGTGTTCTCATTTGATTATTTTATTCTCAACTTGATCTCAGAGGTCTCACAAGAGTCTCTTTGTGCTGCCAGTTTCATGGCACCCTTATAACCGAAAATACCAAAATAATTTAGTTGTTTACAATAATAATATACAGTGGTCCCTCACAATAACGCGGTTCACCTTTTGTGGCCTCACTGTTTTGCAGATTTTTTGTGATAACTACCTTTATCCCTGCAGTGATTACTTTAGAGGACTATGGAGGTCTTCCTGTGGCCCTCAGTCCTGCTCCTGCAGTGTCCTCTGCAGCTGTATTTTACAGTGTAAGAGCAGTGTATCTTATTGTGGATTATTTTTAGAACACAATCCCTGTGACAAATGAGGGACTCGGAGCACCACACATTATAGTATTATTATTTTTAAATAAATTTTTACATTTGTTATTGCGGTGAAATATGGAACATAAATTGATCACTTTTGCTGTTTTTTTGTTTGCATCAACAAGATGAAGGTTATGATGGTAAACGAATGCCATCTGACGAACCTGATCTTTTTGCAGTCGCTTAAACATAGTATTGGTACTAGGGGAATACTGCGGGAATGCACAAAGCTTTTTGCCTGGGCCTTCTCCTTTTGTGCTTTGTCTCTTCAAATGTTGTACCGGTGAAAATACATAGTAAAAATACATAGTAAAAACTACTACTACTACTACTACTACTACTACTGCTACTACTACTACTGCATACCTAAACATTGTTTCTACCCTTTTCTTAAAATGAAACTATTACCCACCTGTATAAATATATTGCAAGATGGCTCCAAAAGCAGATGGATTAATCTAGAAAAAAACAAGGAACATAATTTATAACCTTTTTTACTTTTCAAAACTTGTCAATTAAAAGGCATGTTTTTACCAAAGGGTGTTTTAATGTAATGAGAGTTTTTTCTTTCCATTTAGAAAGGAACATTTCAGAGAAGTACTCAGAGCGAGCGCTGAGGACACAGCGGTGAGCCTGAAACGTTTGTCCATGAACCAGAAAGTTGACGTCACTGTGATGTCCTTGTTCCATCAAACTGAAGCGACAAGAAACAGGAAAGTGTTGAATTAAACAAATTAAGTAAACGCAGAAATGCAAATATGTGGATCATTACAATTATCTACAGATTATAGATGTATAAAGTGTGTGTGCACGCTCAAAAGTGTTATTTTGTTACTCAATGAATTTGGACACACCCTTTGACTTTATAACAGTGGTGTCACACCAGTCCCAGAAAGGGAAAACTGGACTCACCTGAAGAAATGGGTGGAGTCAGGTGTTCCATCTCAGGTTGGGACTCAAACCTGCAGCCACACTGGCCTTTTGAGGACCAGCTAGACACCTGCTCTATGAGCAGGTTGTTGTTGTTGCTAACCCAATTAAGAGCTAATTAACCATAAAATCAGCACACTGTTAGTGTTACTGCAAAACCACTGTGTTGGAGCAAGTGCAATGTATTGCTTAATCTGCACCGCACTAGCTCTTTAGTCATTGCATGTACTTTGTTGCTTATCGCATAATACTGTTTTTATCTGTGGTCTTTAACTAGTGTAATATTTTGTATCCTTGCACCGATGGGACTGTGCAAAGGCTTTGGTATATTCTTGTGTTGTAATTTTGTTTAAAGTGTCATTTATGCAAAACCAGGGGTGTGTTCATATGCAAACATATATAATAAATAAATATGACGCTTTATCAATACGTCCCCAGGGCAGGATGAACTTACGTGTAGAGGAAGTGGCTGAAGGCGTCCTGCTGCTGCAGTGGACATGTGTTAATGCAGTTATACTCTTTTAACAAACGCCGGATCTGGTCGCTCAATGAGCCGTACATGCACCGCTCTCCTTCAAAAGTGTTAGCCTCACACTTAGCACCTAGAGGTCAGAAACAATACTTATGCAATACTGATCAAAATGGACGCAAAATACTTGGAAAAATACAGGCTCCATGTTCAATTCCATCTCACCATTCGCTAGCAAGTACTGGACGAGCTCTTCGTGGCCACAGAGACAGGCATAGTATCTGAAAAAGAGGTTTTTTTAAGTGATAACGATGAAAGCGAATGATAAAATGTTTACTAACGTGTACTTACAACGGCGTGCTGTCCCACTTATCTCTTACATTAAGCTCAACGTCTCTGTGTTCCACCAGATACCTAAACAAAACATGTGAATAAATTAACAGAAATTTGAATACTCGCTATATAGATAACAAAAAATATATATATTGTAGGAGGTTTTCCATTTAAATGTTTTTTGACACTGAAAAAGGTGTATGCAAATATTTGTCTTGTGGGTGGGCTTTCAAGCTTCTTCCTGTTTGTTTACATAGACATGTTTCTTTCTCTGGTTGCAGTCTTCCACTATATGGTCTTTAACATTTATACAGTGTAAACAGGGGATGTCCCACAGAGACAGTATTATTATAATTTTCTCTTTTCAGAGATTTTCCATGTTCAGAAAGTTGCAGTGTTCCTTTAAAAGTACACTAAGTTTTCTAATCTGAATGTATTTATCAAAAACGGTCTTGTGTGTATCCATATATTGTCACATAAATATGTCTGGTAAGAAAGAGGTTAAATTTGCAAGGCAGCCCAGGAATTTACAGGTAGATTTTTGCCAAGAAGAATGGGCAGCTCATCAGAGAGGATTCAGAACCTCATCAACAACAATAACACAATATTGAGAACTGGGCGATGGAGACTTCTGATCTGGGCCAATTGTAGTTTCTGATGTCTATTTAATTTTAAAATAGAAAACACATTTATTTGACATTAAATTACTTTATAGAACCCACTAACGGTGAGTTATTGCCTGTCTGCATGCAAACTATCAAACAAGACAAGGCATGGTCTTCAAGTATGTCAAACATTCTGGGAATTACAATAATATGTCCATATTAAACCGTGTAATGCAGCACATTTTAAAGAAAAACCATAAAAAAGCACAATAAGGTACTAAAAGCTGGGGAACCTAATTTTTATAATCAAAAATCATATTTCCTGTCTTATTTTTTAATCATTCGTTTACACATGCATGTATTTTATTGCACGATTCGCTTTATAGTAAGTACAGTGAAAAACAGACATCCAACCTCACTCAGCCAATCAGCTCTCAGCCCATTTATGAAAGAAATCAGCTTTAAAATGTCAACATTAAGGAGTTTAGTTTCGTGCATGCCCAGACTGGAATAATTATTATAAGCTGCAATTGCATCCGAGACAAACAAGGGCCACCCAGTAACAGATCCATGGAGCCACATACTGTAGCATCTAGCATTCTTTAATTACGATTGTGCTAATGCCACTTTACACAGGGCACTTCCTATACACCGTTCAACGCACATAACTGTTCAATCTATACGGTGTAGCTACTGTCAGTGATGTAAAATGATATTAAACATTCCACTACGTTTGCACCATTAGCTAGCCGTACCTGACTCTGTAAATGTCGCCCTTTTTGCAGCTTGCAAACAGTTCGTGCACATCCATAGCTTCCGCGGCGGCCTGAGATGCATGTATACGGGGCCGAGGGCTGGAGGGTGACCGCACAGGGCTTCTCTTCGCGGGCAGAGCAGACGGGAGCTGACGGGGATCTGTGTCGGAGTCCTGGGGCTGTTGTTTACATCGACAACAGCAGCGGTGGGATTGTTTTGGTCGAAAAGGGGCGGAGATCACGTGACTGCTGGTAGTGCCTTCAGGAGCTGTGAGAATTTGTATATTTATTTTTCATCGATATTTCTCATGGATCTATTATAATCTCTATATACGTTTTTATAATATCTATATACGTTTTGGGGCCAGATAATACATACATTTGCCTAAATGTTCAAACACACAATTTATTATATGTGTTTTTTATACACGGTTAAATATGGTAGAGAGAGAGACAACTAAATCCAACATAAGGGACAGAAAATCTCCATATTTAGATTATTCTCTACTACAACTGCTACTTTATTGATACCGATATTATAATATACACATACGCCTTCACAAAAATGATCATATTTTTCATGATGTATTGTGCACTCAAATATATCGAGATATGTGAAATGTTCCACCTCTACATATGCCACTTGTTTGTCCAAAGAAGCGTGTTACTTGCACTTGTTAGGATCCTACATTTGATGCAAAGACATACAGAGACAATGTAGCATTTGGCTTTAATTACATTATGTATATTTTGAATTTATGGTGTATAGAATAATAATGAAAAAGACAGTGGAATATTGTTTTTTGCAAACAAATGCAAAAGTGATGCTAGAATTGTACATAGCTAACATAATTTATAGTCACATAAACAAAACATGATAGGTGGAATAGCACTTGATGTAACGCTCTGCAGACAGTGCACCTGCAGTCTCTTCTCTTACATACAGAAAGTAGTGTTGAAAATGTGTGGGTTTTTTGGTGTTTCTTGTATTGTATTTTAATTTGTTGCACTTTGAGGTTTTGTAGAAATGTAAGGTGCAATAATAGATATTATTATCATTATTAATAAAATTTAAACCAGAGTCCAGACTCACAGAGTAACGGTCTATCCCCCCATATCTGGCCCTGTGTGCGCCTCTACGCATCAACACATTTATTGATTATGCGCACATTCTTGAATACTTATTTCATAGTTATGGTTGCAGTAAACAACAAAATCTAACTTTCAGGAGTTTTGTTCTCTCTCATTTCAGTCATGTGGTAGGTCACAGGTTGACAGAGTCTGCAACATTAAAAACAACAACAAAGGGCAACAATACAACGTTAAAGCCTTTGTGATTCATTCTTCATCCTTAAGTTTTGTTTTGGCGAGTCGTTGTTTGAGTACAAGGATCTGGAGTTGGATTTTCTCTCGCTCCAGTAGTAGGTTTTCTTTTTGTAGTTGTAACACCTCCACCTGTAATGCTTCTGAGGAGACAAAACATAATATATTAATATTTGTGTAAATATAAAGTATCACATCATGAATATTATCAAGTTAAAGGATAACAATAAATGGATTCATAACTAAATTCCTTACATTTACCAGTAGATGTCAGACCTGTACCTCTGCTAATCTGCACCACCAGGGCTCAGCGTGATGAACTGTACTTTATCCACCTTATCTCGCACATGATATTCCTAGCAGTCTCCCATCCAAGCACTGACCAGGCCTGACTAACTTAACCAATTGGACCTGTTGAGATCAGGCTTTGACAGGTGAAGGAACACCTTTGATCTCACACATGACCTGCTCAGTTACTACAGTAGCTGCACAAATTGTTGGTGACAACTTAAAAGAACTAGACCTACATACAGAACATTTTTCAGATTTTTGGACCACACTGTGATTTAGCACTAATCAGAGAAGACCGCTTAACTCTCCTCTTTTTTACCTCTGGATGAACTGCATTTCTCTGTTTCCTGAGGCAGCATCGAGCTTTGTATCTCAACCTCAACCGGATAGTGATCGCTGACTTTCAAAGCCTGCAACACATTTACAATCATCTAAAATGTATGTTGTAATGAAATAGTCTTGTATTTTACCTTTTCTTCAGTCATCCCAAACTCTTTGTGAAAGTTAAACGTCTTGGCTGAGTTTGGGACAATGGCCGCCAACATGTCTTTCCCATACACAACAATCCTAGAAAAACAAACACACTCCTCATTACATTTCTTGTCGTAAGTATGGAAGTGAACAGTAAGTTTTAGTCAAGCCAGTTTTCATGAATACAATCTACCGCTACTCAGAAACAAATCTAGAAAAGTCTTACTGATAATGTGGTTTAAATACAGATATTTTTAGCTGTGTGTATTTTAAAGTGGATCCCTATAGATGAATGAATGTACTGTTTAATTCATATGCTTTTACGTGTTTTATGATGATGATGATGATGATGACTTTATTAGCAGACTCGAGGTCAAGATCAACAGATGTTATGATTTTACTTGTTTTGTGAGGCACTTTGAGTTGGAGTGTATGCATTGTGCCATATAAATAAACCTTCCTTGCCATCACAAACATGTGGTGAAACTGTGGTAGCATTAGTAGTAGTATTTTTCATTCTATTTACTGTTACATAGCATTTGCAATCAATAGCTAGCTTTTCAATGTAAACTTTATTTATTTTCCATCAGCGTTCTGACTGGTTAAACGTGTTGATAAATACTAAATAGAATAATTAGGCTCTCTGTTGGTGCAGTTACCGGTCGTAGGTGTGCTCGTTGGAAGTATTCGCAGTCGTATCAACATCGTCTCCAATCAGCCAGTGAAAGTTGTTGTCGCTGCGGATCCGAATGGGTTTCATTTTCCGCTGCGAGACGTAAGCTCCGTCTGCGTTTAAATCCCCCAGAATCATTATGTTCTGGAAATATGCAACATAGAGCCAGAGTCAGAACTAAACATGGGGAGGCAGTGTTTCTGATTATGACCTGTGTCTTCCTGAAAATGTGAGACGGTCTTCTTCTCTGGAAATGTACAAACCCAGGTTGAAGATGATTCTGTTTGTCTATGTGCATACAACTGAAGGATTTTATCTCTTTGTAAAGCATTGTTATTTATTATTTTAATCTCTTGAGGGATTTTAAGATTTTAAGATTTATTTTTTTTATAACCTGTGTGATTTTAATTGTGTTTTTAATGGTGATTTTTGTGTTTGTTTTATGTGATCATTTGCGTCTTGTGTGATGTGGACTGTGAAGCTATTTCCCACTAAACATCCGACGTCCACTCAACCTCCAGATCACGTCAATATCGCGTCGGTCGGTCGTGACCTTTTATTTACGTCCAAACGACGTCTGTGCAAGGTGCGCAGATTTTAGATATAGATGTATCATTTCCACATTGAAAAGAGTTGGAGACAGAAAGTAAGTTGTTTTCTCACGTATACGTGGATTTTGTTAAGTATATTTTGTATATTATCTGTATTTTGAATTGCCAGTGCATGAATCTATAATAATAACGGCTGGCACTGCTCAGCTGAAAGGAAGACACCTTTTTTTAGTTTTTAACTCACTGCCCAATCACACCGCGGTAAAGTGGGCCGCATCTTTCACCTCCAAAGTAAAACGGCCCGCATCGAGAGAAAAGCAGTGCGCGTTTTGTTGACTGCTTACGGTAATAGCAGAACAGCCTTTCGCAGTCAGCTTTTCTCCTCGAACAGAAAGCGCGCTTAGGAGACTCGTTTTGTGAATAAACCAATGGTGTAGGTTTGGTTCCAATCTTGGTGGGGACATTCACTACGACCTGAGTCTACACCCATTGACACGGGGTCCAGAGTTTCTCCCCCAGAATTTGTTGTGTAATCACACACTATATTTGCAATAGTGTGTTGCCTTCTATACTAAACTCAGCTGTAGACTGAATGAGAAGCAGTTAAGGATTTTTTCTAATAGTTAAAACAAAATAAATTGGATCAGAGCTTCTGAGTTTTGTGTTGCGTTCATTCTATACTGACTTAAACCTAATCCAAATCTACATAATAGCCCTCACCTGAGGCTCTAACAGTTCAGGAACTGCTCTCGATACTTGAAATAAATCATGCTCTGAACTTTCAATTTCCTATAATAAATAAAAACAGAGGAGAAAATATTGAATTAGAATCTACAGTGAGTATCTCACTACATTGTTTGACATATACGATCAATCTCTAAAAACAATTCATAGTCCCATGCATACCTACAAAATTCCAACCTCACCTGATGCACTGAAGGGCCTGTTGCTTCTACCTCAACATTCCCTATATTGTTCTCTCTTGTTGGTTGAGTTTCCTATGTATGTTAACAGAAGATTAATCATCACAATTCATAATTTGCTATTACTTGTGCTTTCTCTTACTTACTTTCCAACTGTTAAAAAAGCTCCTGATATCTTTTATCTTTTTTTGTGGAGGTGGCATTTTTTCTAAATTATATAAGAAGGTATAGAAAATCAAAAACAGACATTCATATACATGAACTGCAGAATCATTTATATAACTTGGCCAATGCCAAAAGTTACATAGTATTTCTCAATACAATGAGTTAACAAGAGTTTGGCAATAAGTAACAGTGTGGATTTTTCTATATTTTCTTTTTTTTAATTCCACTCTCAACCCAAAAAGGCAAGTAATGACTCACAGGGCTCTCAAGTATGCAAAATAAAAACTTAAATGACCTGTTGTGGTGTGTTTTGCGCACAACCAGCATGCATCGTTAACGCAATGGAAAATTTAGGTATCCGAGCTTTAATTTCGGGAGCGCTGGTTGCGCTTTGGGAAGAGTCAGGGGAGAGACATGTCAGAGACACAGGGGAGAAACGGGGGAGATACGAGGGAGACCCGCACTTGCAACATGGTTCTGTCTGCATATGGTCCGAGCTCGGTACCATGTTAGAGCTGTGCTTTCACTGAGCGCCGCGGCTGTCATTACAAAGCGGCAGCAGCTGCACCAGGACGTGCACATTCGAGTGCATCTCTTGAATGTGCTTAGAGCAAATAACAGCCAGTGCCCGCTGTCACACATTTCACAGAAATTACATTATCAGCAGATAAAGGTTGTAAATCGTGGATCCGTGGAATATTTTCATCCCTAGTTTATCCTGATTCACACAACACACCCACTTATACATTTTGGATAGTAAGAGCACAATAAGTATTTTTTCAGCCTTTCAACCAACCTGTTTCTTTATTGGAGCCAGTTCTGTTCTGTCTCTGTATGCCGTGTGAGCTCCTCGGAACATTAAACAGTGCGCTGACAGATTAGAAATAACGTAAGTACTTTGAAAGGTAATAGATCTACAGTACTTTCCTCTGATTACTCACGTGCTACAACGCTCAGGGAACGAAAAAAAACACTTGCTTCACGCTGGCTAACCTTTAAAAATTAAACAGTCGCTCAGTGCTTCAGTTTGGCGCTGAAGAAGACAGCCAATCACTGCAGAGAACGGAACGGGTCACGTGCTGCTGCTGTTGCTCTGGAGGCGAGGAGGAGGCGCGACGTGTGCACAAACGGAAGACATGTGTCCCGGACCGTCCGGGTCACGGGACATCATGTCATTTTGGTGGGGACTTTTTAGTCCTCACCAAATATTGGTGGGGACATGTCCCCATGGTCCCCACGCAAACCTACGCCCTTGGAATAAACCCTTATTTGGAAAAGCATGTAAAAACTTAAAATGTTTGACATTTAATTTGGTCAAAAAGGGAAATTTTCAGCTGCTGTCCATTTTTACAGTAAAGACTTGAGTATCTTATTCCACTGGGTGTATGACCTCACCACTGCCTTCACCGCTGTGCCTACAACCACAAACCTTTACTTTGGAAATTGTGGGTAAAATTGAGACAAATTACACTTTTTAGTCCAAAATACACAAAACTAAGAAAATTCCCACCTTTGATCTACTGTAACTTTTTTACTGTAAAAAGGTGTGAGACTAATTTCACTGGATTCATGACCTCAACATTGCCCTCTACCACTGTACCAAAGACAAGAAACATTTACTGTAGAAATATTTAAAAATATTGATTTAAAGTAGCCATTTTGGTCCAAAATACCTCAAAAATAGTCAAAACATGTCACTTTTGATCTACTGTAATTTTTTATTGTAAAAAGGTGTGCGACTGATTTCACTGGATTCATGACCTCAACATTGCCCTCTACCACTGCACCAAAGACCAGACACTTTTACTGTAGAAATATTGATTTAAAGTAGCCACTTTGGTCCAAAATAGCCTAAAAATGGTCAAAACATGTCACTTTTGATCTACTGTAACTTTTTACTGTAAAAAGGTGTGCGACTAATTTCACTGGATTCATGACCTCAACATTGCCCTCTACCACTGTACCAAAGACCAGACACTTTTACTGTAGAAATATTGAGAAATATTGATTTAAAGTAGCCATTTGGGTCCAAAATACCTCCAAAATAGTCAAAACATGTCACTTTTGATCTACTGTAACTTTTTACTGTAAAAAGGTGTGCGACTAATTTCACTGGATTCATGACCTCAACATTGCCCTCTACCACTGTACCAAAGACCAGAAACTTTTACTGTAGAAATATTGAGAAATATTGATTTAAAGTAGCCATTTTGGTCCAAAATAGTCAAAACATGTCACTTTTGATCTACTGTAACTTTTTACTGTAAAAAGGTGTGCGACTAATTTCACTGGATTCATGGCGTCATGATTGCCCTCTACCACTGTACCAAAGACCAGAAACTTTTACTGTAGAAATATTGATTTAAAGTAGCCATTTTGGTCTAAAATACCTCCAAAATAGTCAAAACATGTCACTTTTGATCTACTGTAACTTTTTACTGTAAAAAGGTGTGCGACTAATTTCACTGGATTCATGACCTCATGATTGCCCTCTACCCCTGTACCAAAGACCAGAAACTTTTACTGTAGAAATATTGAGAAATATTGATTTAAAGTAGCCATTTTGGTCCAAAATACCTCCAAAATAGTCAAAACATGTCACTTTTGATCTACTGTAACTTTTTACTGTAAAAAGGTGTGCGACTAATTTCACTGGATTCATGACCTCATGATTGCCCTCTACCACTGTACCAAAGACCAGAAACTTTTACTGTAGAAATATTGAGAAATATTGATTTAAAGTAGCCATTTGGGTCCAAAATACCTCCAAAATAGTCAAAACATGTCACTTTTGATCTACTGTAACTTTTTACTGTAAAAAGGTGTGCGACTAATTTCACTGGATTCATGACCTCAACATTGCCCTCTACCACTGTACCAAAGACCAGAAACTTTTACTGTAGAAATATTGAGAAATATTGATTTAAAGTAGCCATTTTGGTCCAAAATAGTCAAAACATGTCACTTTTGATCTACTGTAACTTTTTACTGTAAAAAGGTGTGCGACTAATTTCACTGGATTCATGGCGTCATGATTGCCCTCTACCACTGTACCAAAGACCAGAAACTTTTACTGTAGAAATATTGATTTAAAAGTAGCCATTTTGGTCTAAAATACCTCCAAAATAGTCAAAACATGTCACTTTTGATCTACTGTAACTTTTTACTGTAAAAAGGTGTGCGACTAATTTCACTGGATTCATGACCTCATGATTGCCCTCTACCACTGTACCAAAGACCAGAAACTTTTACTGTAGAAATATTGAGAAATATTGAGGTAAAGTAGCCATTTTGGTCCAAAATACCTCCAAAATAGTCAAAACATGTCACTTTTGATCTACTGTAACTTTTTACTGTAAAAAGGTGTGCGACTAATTTCACTGGATTCATGACCTCATGATTGCCCTCTACCACTGTACCAAAGACCAGAAACTTTTACTGTAGAAAT